CTCCTTCCGCTTCGTGGGTGACGTAAGCGTAAGTGCATTGTCACAGTAATGCAAAAATCATTGCGAAAAAACGTGACATGAACTTTAAAATGAATTAATAGAGGCTTCGAGGCAGAGGATTTTGCCTCGATGATTTTTTGTAATCGAGTTACTCGAGTTACTCGAGGAATCGTTTCAGCCCTAAAAATAACACAGACAATTTTCTTTAACTCATTTAATAGGGCACTTAATGTTGGTGAACTGTACAGAAAAATGCATATAAAATGATATAACGTATATTTACCTTAACTTAAAGAATAACATTTACAATCAAATGCTGTTCCTATTGAAAATGAATATCTGATATATAAATACCAGAATACTTTAAACAAATTTTTATAGTCATGCATTACTTTTATTTTGTCTGAATCCCATTAATGTATACAAGTTATGCATCATGTACAGGAAGTGAAGTAAATATTTTTGCAGATCTGTAAATTTAACGTTTAGCATTAACTTCATGTTGCTTAATACTGATAAAATGATGCAGAAAACGTACATATAGTGTTGTCCTTCTCTGATATAAACCTACACTTTTCACTGCTTCCCACAGAATAGGATGCAGTTATGGGTCTTCGTGTATTGGCCATTATTGTCTTTACAGTAAAACCTGTATAGTAGCCCCTTTATAAAAGGACAGATACATTTTAATTTAAAAAATCCATAATTTATATTTTCTTTATATATACATATATATCAAGATACGGTGGCTCTTTCTCAACACATTAAGTCGGACCAACTCTGAATTCCATTTCTGTAAGACATTTTGATGAATGATCCTTAAAGAATGATTCTATATTGATAAATGTTCATTGCAGTTGTTTATGTAAACTGCGTTCAGATGTAATGCATATCTACTATTGCTTGTGAAGCACTTTCCCAGCAAACAATTAGAATAACATGCACAGAGCTTCACTTCTAACAGGTAAAGTATTTGGGAGAAATCTTACAAAAAGCTCAATAAGTTCGAACTTAGCCCAGATTTTGTTTTACTCATGTCATATAGGTTTCTTTGGACCTCTTCTCAACATGAACAAGTTGTCTTGCTCATGATTACCCTGCGAGATTATACACACATTTCTCTACCACTTTTGGTCTGTCCATCATTCCATCTTGCATTAATTCCATCAAAAGTATTGCATACCAGCGCATTTCCTGCATAGCCTTTTACAGTACAATAACATGTAAAGCCTTCCCTGTAATGCATAATTACATACAGGGTTGAGTGCAGAGTAGAACACATATCTATTCGCCCATGCATATATAAATACAAACAAGTAAGTGTATTCTCTTGCTTCTCAGAAGCAATATCGCCCCCTGCTGGAGAGCTCAGGATCACATTGGCCTGCATGTGGCTTGCCCTGTAGCCTGTTATTCCAGCGAAGCAGCTGAATGTGTGCAGACGTGATCAGAGTCTGGGGCTGGCTGTTTTTTCTCTGTGTGCAAAAGGGTCCCCCTGTGGAAGAGCAGGTTACGCTTTTCTGCACCATGTCTGCTGTACGCAGAAGAGACATTCCCCATAAGGACTGCCACTGGGTGGTGGTTCATTTCTCTGTGTGAGCCGTGAAAGAATCTCGTATCCGCACCACTTCAGCTGCACACAGGTTTCCGAAGATCTTACTGTTATACTCCGGGAGACGGCCCCTGTGACCAAGAGAAGGAGCGAACTGTGAGTTAACAGCACCCCCTAATGCTGAGAAGTAGTATTTTTTTCAAAGTGTGTCCTCCTACTGAACAGGATTCTTGGTACCTCAGACTTCAATCTGATGTCTGAGACACTTACCTATGCCCTTATCAACTATACCCATCCAGACAGACTCACATGACCAGCTATATCTCCCAGATCTATGAGTAAATCCAGGCTTTACTTTAACACAGGCAGGAACATCAGCTAAACAGCTAAACATCAGCAGAGGCTCCAACAAACCCTGCTTTCAGGAAGGTGTGTGTGGTCCTGGACTTGAAGCTTACCTGCAGTCCAACCTTGAGATATACGTAAGACGAGACCGTCCAGGACGGCTAGGTTCAATGAAGTAGCGGGCTGTCAGGACATTAACCCGCACGCCCAACACTGGCGCCCCCTCATGGTCCACGGAGGTACAGACCAAGGCACATGCACCTTTTGGCAGGTCTGTCACCCATGTCCTAGCAGGAGAAAAGAAGCAATAATAGATTAAGAACATTATGGTGCGAGTCAGCTGAACGTAGGCAAAGTGATTGTATCCAAGCAGAACATGTGCACGGTAAGTGTATTTGGCTTGATGAATGTATCGGATAAGAATTTGAGCATGGAAACCTTTCTGAGCAAAGAGTCAGCTTGTATACCTGAGAAGGACATGGTCACGTGGAGGATGCGGTGCCATGCTGTCCCGCACATACTGATACACTTCAGTCTGTGGGTCCAACGTTTCCAGAACCTGGGCCTCCAGAAGGTCATCATCCCAGCGGTGCTGCTCTCGCAGCAGCCGGGTCAGGACTTCCTCAGGGGTCGCTGGCACCTCTAGAGCTGCCTTCCAGAACCTCAGCGGAACTCCATCCTGCACCTTTTGTGTAAAGGGATGGAACAAAGAATAATATATAAGCAAATAGAAAGTCATGAACTATGTGCACCGTGCAGTGATGACTAAATGAAGCTTCATGAACCGTTTGCTGTATTTTCTGACCCCACTAGATGGAGCTCTCCGCTCAAGATAGGGCTCAAAACAAAGCAAACCAAGTGCGCCATCTAGTGGGGTAAAAAAATACAGCAAATGGTTCACGAAGCTCCATTTGGCCATCATCAACCTTATGCACTATTTCTCAGCGAACAGAACTGAACCAAGCTCAGACTTGGGAGTGGATCTCGGCTCCTCAAGCATGATGAAAGCTGTGTGTGGCCGCCGAGAGCCTTGCTGATCATTTGTCCTTACAGGCTAGACAATCACAAAAACTTGACAAAAGACTGAGCCATAAAGGGATGTGATGAAAACTGAAAAAGACAAGGATGAGAAACCGTGCATACAAGTGTGCATTGTATTTAGCGACTCTGATAAGTAGATTCTAAGCCCACCAGCTTATCTGCGTGGAGGAGATAGCTCCCTTGCTGTTCATTGTGGTTTTTCTCTTGCTTACAAAATACGGGTACTTTCTCTTCATTTAATAAGCAAACTCCGGTACAAAGCTACAGCTCAGCCTAACAATGTGCCACATCCCACGTTGGGAAGGTTATTTTTGAAATGTAATGCTTTAATAATGTAATAATAATGTAAAAATGCAACCCTGCTAATAATGTAATAAGTAATCAAAGTAGCATAACGTATTACATTTGATTACATTTCTAACATATTTTTAACCTGGGCAATAAATATGAAATGTTAAATTTGTCCCAATGGCTTTGCTGACCTGGATTGTTTGGAAACATGCTGAAAAAAGGCATTTCTGCATGGAGAAAAGATACAAAGCAACAAAATGAATGTTACATTGTATATATAAGCTTTTTACTAAAAAGAATATATTCAGGTGTTACCCCTTTGTAATCACCAACAAATTAGTAATAGTCAATGGAGCAGACTACATTTTACAGCCTTCATTTTGTAATTTAGTTATGTAATGATGTCACATGTAGCTGGTTACTCCCCAACACCGACTGCTTTCCCACTTAACAATGGGCTCCTATCTCGTAAACAGAGGAAGGAACAGGGACCTGATTGTGCTGAAAGAAAAGCTTGTAAGCAGCTGGAGGAGTTGGTGATGGCTTGAACCATCCAATAGTGACAAACTGGAGGATGTGTTCTCATGTGAAAGGCTTTGGCGTATCTTGCGGGGGGAGGATAACAGGATCTGGCTGCCCTCTGTGCCAGCCATGAACTGTCTGACCGCCCAGGTGTCACACGGCCAAAGGGGGGGGGGGGCACCGCGCTGAGAAGCCATGATCGGGGCAGATCTGAACAGCGGTGAGAAACTGCTACAGCCAACACCGTCCCCGAAGCAGATAAATCACCGTGCAGCTACTGTCCTGGGGGATTTCCTGCTGCTTATAAAAACTGAGGCGCCGGCCTTAATGAACCGTACAGAAGAGCTGACTGGGCTGGATCCTTAAAGATGCCACTAACAGTTCAGCGTGTGGCAGGATGCACCCGTACACGGTACGGTATGACTCAAAGTTACCGTTTGTTCGAACAAATGACCAGCTTAGCTGCTGTACGTGGGTTTGTGTATGGGGGTTAGGGTTCTGTGTGTGTGTATGTTCGGTGAGTGCACTGTGGCCGTGTGTGTATGTTCGGTGAGTGCACTATGGGTGTGTGTGTATGTTCGGTGAGTGCACTATGGGCGTGTGTGTATGTTCGGTGAGTGCACTATGAGTGTGTGTGTATGTTCGGTGAGTTCGCTATAGCCCAGATACCTTCTTGCTCGCCAGCTCTGCAGGCTCCATTGTCGATCGGCTGTCGTAGCCCCGGAAACGGTCTTTGGCCTCCTTCAAGAGGCCATCCAGGCTTTCCTTCAGGATGCCCCCGTGAGTGGTCAGCTTCCCCTGTCCCGGGGGCTTCAAGCCCTGATCCGTGTACGAATTCCTGCATCGACTCATTTCTTCCGGAATCTAGGATGAAGAGTGAAAGCAAGGGGTTCAGACGGAAGTTTGGCTGATGCAGTAGGAACGTTTCCCGGCCTGAGGGAGACTGGGTATGGCAGAGGTTTTGGATCCCACTGAGCCCATAATTAATTAGTCGGCGTTATTTGTTGGCAACCTGAATTTGCGCAACTTAAAATAAACCAAGCACCTGCCTCAGCTGTGTTTGTCCTAGTAAAAATACTTCTGTTTATTTTATTCTTACTGAAATCTAAACAAATCAAAATATATCATGAAATATTTAATCATTTAGGAGCAATGAACAACGAATTAATCAGAGATTCTTTTAAACAACCCATATTATCCATAAAAGAGGAAATTGTATAAGTTAATATAACATTTTTAAAATCTTTATTTGTTTATATACCACTAAGTTCTAAGCTTCTTACAATTTTATTTGATTTAGCCAATAGCTCCAAGAAAGCTAATTAATTAAGCTCATCTAAAAGCGGCACTCAAGGCGCAGAATGCCCCAGCTGGAATCTGCAGAGGATGAAGTCTGCAAACTTATGAACAAAACTGTACACAAAGCAAGTCTTCTGTCTAATCAATGCAGGGTTTGCAGGGGGGCTGGAGCCTATAACCAGAGGCATGTGGCATGAATTTATTGTCAACAAATACAAATGCATATATAAAAACCCTTGTGTCCAGCCCAGCATTTTCCACTGTCCTCTATTTTGCATTTTAAGTCCTGTGCAATCCCTCCCTCACCAAGCACTGCTTGCATGTCACGCCGTGGTCCTGGGGATATGTTATTTCTTGCCACAGTTTAACGGCCTACGGATGGTACGGCCATAAAGCCCACTTTATTTGACTTGACGACGATGGGATTCCAGTCCATCAAAAGAGATAAACTTGAAGGCACATACTTTAAATAATTCACCAGAAAGCATTAATTCACCTAAATGTTATTTTTAAAATTTTAACTGGCGGGAGGAGACGGGGGCACCTGGAGGAGACCCTCGGCAAACAGGGAGGAACCCCAAGACCGCTGGAGGAGAAGCCAGACCCTGTGTGCTGGGGGTGCGAGACGACGGCGCTACCCACTAAGTCACAGTGCTGCTCTCCTTTTCATTCAGTTTCTTTGAAAACTCTTCAAGCTTTTCACTTATTCACCACATACTTATCGCTACTCAAAGAGAATAACTCACTGAACATATTCAGCATTTTTGGAAATTTTCACAAAACTGAAAACATTTATAGTATTTACACTCTGATTGGTTTCCAGGGTACTCTGTGTGTCGCGTCAGGCATTTAGCCACGTAGTAAAATTACGAGTCCCCCCCCCACCCCAAATATGTTTGCTCCTGACCCAGGCATGTAGATAGGTAATAAAGTATGTTTGAACCCCTCTAAAATTTCCAGACCCTCCCTCAAATTTCATTTCTGGCTATGGTCCTGTATCACATCATGGAGGTCACAGGGTCACAAGGTCATGGGTTGTTGCTGGTTAAACGATTCAGATTCTTTCAGCCTCAACTTGCGTTTAAACAAATAAACCGGTCAAATCCGGTACTGTGACACGGTGCCTAAAGCCCGTACGATGCCGGTCTGGAGACTTTCCTAGCATTCCTAAGCCAGGCCTTTGAGAAAGAGATCCGTGTGGGGGTGGGGGGGAGGGGAAGGGATGGCAAAGCCTCACCAGGAAGATCTTCCTGCACTCTGCGATCATGTGGGCCAGGCCTTGGGTGGCTGCCAGGTTCTCATTCAGGTCCTTCTGGTCCGGTTTTCCCAGGCTCTGCTTCCGCTGCATCACCCTGTGCAGGCAACGACCCAGTCAGACATTTCCTGCGACTGACACAGAACTGATGCTGCTGCCTGACGTCATTTAGCATTTATTTAAACACCTCTACTGCTGCATTGTAGCTGCTCATAGAGACCCGTTACTTTAACTTAAATTCAATAGGCTGCGATCTCATTCACTCAGTCCTACCCATGTTATACAGCTAAAATCCCGTTGTAGCGGATTTGCTTATAATAGAATATCGTCTATAACGGACGAGGTCCACTAGTCCTGGCTGTACGCCTTAAAGAACATGCAGAAAAAGCATAGAATATAACGGACTCGCATATAATGGAATTTCGCTTATAATGGACAAACAATTTGGTCCCCAGGGCCGCTTTTAGCTGTAGTTTTGTTTGGCTATACGGACATGCAGCTCTGCCTACAAGGCGCTTGGCATGCCGGTAATATCCTGCGCAGATACGTAGTCGGGATTATTAATAGTCACGCATCTAGTCAGGTAAAGTTGGCTTACTACATGTACAATATAATAATCTATACCACAAGTGTGTTTGGTGGGGTGTGGCATGAGTAAATGGTGTCCTGTAGTTCTGGGCAAACAGCAACTCTGGATATAACGACTTTGGATATAACGGACTCTTCAAGGAATCTGTATTTTATTTTCAGTTTAAGTATTGGTATTTTGATTTCTAGGAACAGATTGAAAGTTGTCTGCAATCTTTAGAGAATCCTGCGTGAATATACAGTGCACATTACATGCTAATGTACCCAAAATGGGCAAAACATATCCCAGGTCTTATTAATTAAATGGCAATTAAAAAATGAACAAATCATGACTTTACCTAAATAGCATTAAAAACTGATATTTCATTTTTAAAAATTTTATTTCAGTTTCTGAAGCAATATTTGTAATTATTGTTAGTTGTAGTTTTTTCATATATCTTTATTTTAGTTTACAAAAATGAGTTACAGATTTAGTTTTCCTTAATGACAATAACACTGGTCCAACAGCCGTACCTACACATTGGATAACTTCTTAAAGAGTGTTTTTTGAGTCCAGTCTAGGGATGTGGGGAAGAGTTTAGTGATGGGCAAAATGATACTTATGAACCATTTGATATATATTTTGACTCCACTAGATGGTGCTGTCTGTTCAAAAAAGGGTTCAAAGCATGCCCCAAAGCAAGCCAAGAGCACCATCTAGTGGGGTCAAAAAATACTAAAAATAAATGGTTCATGAAGCTTCATTTGCTCATCACTAGGAAAGTTACCTGGTGGAGGAGCCGTCCCGCCGCAGTGTGTTCAGGTGGAAGAGAGAGGGCGCCAAGCACACGGCCAGGTTGGTGCAGGTCATCTGGTTATCGGCGGCGGCGGCGGCAACATCACTCAGGAAGTAAAGCAGCGTCTGCAGCGCCTCCCTGTGGTGGTCAGGCAACAGCAGCACGGCCGCACGGACGGCCTGCAAGCGCTGCTCTTTGGGGATATCTGTGGTGGGGGGGAGAAGGTGGTGGAGGGGGTCACTTAGGGGCTTTGCAGACAAACATAAAACCATAAAACAGGATCCTTAAAATATCAACAGAACCATCATGTGAATAATTACGAGGGACAAGCAATTATATGTAACTACAACAATGTAACAACTGGGTCTGGATTCAAGTTTAAGAACCCCGCAGAGTTTAGTACTAGACTACAGATGCCAGAGTCTTTCTTTAATCCAGACAGTCACACTTAGAAGCTGTTTAATTGGGCTCCAGGAAGAATTTGGCTTTTGTGTTGCATCACACTAAATCTGCTACAGTCCTACTTATTTGGAACACATGAAACATTTTTAATGCTTGTTTTTCCCTTCCAATATTTTCCCCTTTAATATAAGTGTAATATTAGTTATAGACAACCCCGCCTTAAAGATCTTCTGAGGCCTAACACCACATTTGGGCATTTACAGCAGCCAGGTGATGTAATGGTAGAGAAGTTTCCTCATTAAAAATCATAATTACTATTACGCGAGATCTATTATAAGATGCGGTTTATGATAATGGTCCTCAAAATATATGTTTTATGTGTGGAAGGGAGAGAGAAGAAAGGCATTGAAAAATAAGCATATTTTGCGTGTAGTGGTAAATTTTAACATCCAGCACAGCAAGGCTTCCCATTACAGCAAGCGGAGAGATATTCTACTCAAACACATGGAGTCTTTCTGAAGACAGCACACAGGAATGTGCTTAAGTAACAGCTTAAAGACTCCACAACAGTAATAATACAGACGCTCTAATTACAAATGAGATATGTTCCGAACGACTGTTCGTAACTTGAAATGTTCGTAAGTTTTAAGGGTTTAATTTTAAGGGTATATGCAGGTAGAAAGAACTAGGATGCTGGGAGTACGCACGCTACGCTGCTGTGCGGCAGGAGTAGCGGGCAGAAGTCGTACTAGGAGGAATTGGCGTGCAGAAAAAAAAAAAGGGCGGACAGGAAACGGGAGCCTAATGATCACAATTTGGACTTATAGTCCTCTTCGTTTATATATGTGAAAGTTCGTAAGTTGAAAGTTCATAAGTAGAGGAGTGTCTGTAATAATAATAATAATAATAATAATAATAATAATAATAATAAATGAAGCGACACAACAAGATGGCCAGCTATCTGCATTGGTCGATCTGCAGCAGGCTAGGTGGGTGGACAAGTGTTTCAGAAATGTGCCTGAAACGGTCAACATTGGTGACACAACCATCATGTTGGACATAACAGTACAGACCAACTAAACGATTTCAGCATAAATCAGATGTAGTGGTCCACTTCAAAAAGGAGAAACAATGCTTACTGCTCCCAGATGACTACGTTATCATGCTCAAAGAAGATGAGAAACTGGGCAAATGCAAAGATCTAGATATCGAGATCAGCAGGACGTGGGGCACCAAGACGGCAATGTTGGTAATGATCAGAGCTCTAGAAAGGATTCACCAAGAACCTTCAAGAGCTACCTGGTCACCACACAGTACAAGAAGTGCAAAAGATCACACTGATGAGAACTGCTCCTATCCTCCACAAAGTATCTGACTAAACGTCTTAGGTCCCTGGCTGGGACACGGACTACCCAGTGGCTGCGGGCCAAAGTCGAAATAAGAGAGTAAGAGAATAATAAGTAATAATAATAACAAAGGCAGCCATGCTACTCACACTGGTAGATCTGTAGGAAGGTCTCTCCTAGCTTGCTGGTCAGCAGAGGCTCGGGAAGATCTCTGAAGTACTGCTTCAGCATATCCGCCACGTCGTAGGCCGACTGGCCATCGTAGCCGACACCATCGGGGCAGGCCTCGTTCATCTGCCTCAGCGCCTGAATGCGCGACTTGACCCCCGACTTCCTGAACAGGCCCACCTGCGGGAGAAGCAGTAACAGAATGCATGGGAATTGTCGTTAAGCGCTCGGGGGTGTCCGCGTTGCTGTGGATTCACGGGCCGTTAGCCTATCCTTCACAGCTGCTGGGGAGCTCTCCCCCAGGCCCCTGCTGATGGCCGCACTGGGGCCCAGGCAGTGATATCCTGTTGCAGTCTCTCTTTTACCATTTCCACTCTGCTTCACATGACATAACGGAGACACAACGGACTGCCGGAACAGGGATTACATCATTATTTGGTCAGCTAGCACCTGTGAGATGAATTTACGTAAACTCAAGGCGCACCAGCTGTTGTGTGGAACCAGGGAGCTGGGGGACGGGGACTTGTCGATGGATGGGACTCTCACCTGGTCCAGGCATTGGCTGCGCAGGTAGCGCATAGCTTGCTGGATGCCCAGGGGGAGGGGCTGTCCGCTGTGCTGCATGTTCAGCTGCAGAGACACGCCGAAGACACTCCTATCCCGGTAATCCCGCAGTTTGGGTCTCTTCATGAACCGGGGCATCACCCTGCTGGGGCAACGCCAAGGGAATGCCATGAGGTCACCTCCTTCGCTATCGCCCTCCTATCTCTGCATGCTATTCCCCTCATCCGCCAGTCCTATTAGTCCCTCCATCTCTGTGAGTATCCGTTACTGCCTTCCCATCACTCTGGCATCCTCCCATGCAGCGTGGCTGTGATAAACCTCCAGCCAAGCTCTGTGTGGACAGGCAGAGAGTCCTCTGCCTCTGCTGCTCTTCAGTGCCTTTGGGGGCCCCCGGCAAGCGAGGATGTGCTGCACGCCGAGCACATAGGTCAGGCACCAGCGGGACCGCTGCCCGTAACCGAGAGCGACCCACACCTGCATTAACTAATTGGGCCAGATGCACATCTGGGGCTGTAATCTTAGAACCTCAGGACCAAGGGTGGGGGGGGGGGTTAAAGTTCCAAATTAAGAAAAAGCCAGATGAATCATTCTATTGTCCACCTCCCATTACAGTGTATTTCCCATGGGGCTGCTTGACTAATCTTCTTACTTTTGGGAAGCTTATGAGTTTATATATGTGGAGGACAGTTAGAAGGTCTAGGCAATGACACAGCTGGTAAGATGAAAAGGGTCTTTAGCTTTGATTAGTGTGAGCGGAGCTGCTGTCACTCTTCGGTGGGAAATCACACTGAGATTAAAGGTCTCAGAGACTGGTCCGGTGCAGTGGTGCAGTATACAAGAAACTCAAAGCGAGGGGATATAACATTCTCATACAGAAGTGCAAAGCAAAATCGAAATGCATAATTTCCAAAACTAACATTTTTGTTGATTTTGAGATGAGACCTAGGGGGTATTCCAGGAAGGAGGATTTCTTGCTTAGCCAGATAACTTCTTAGATTTAAGGTAGTCTGGGCTAAATGGACTTTATTTTCAGCCCAGACTTTCTTAAGTCCAACAAGTTATCCGGCTAAACAAGAAATCCTGCTTCGTGGAACAATAATATAAAGTCAGGTTTCCTCATCACATGTTATAGTACTGGGAATCAAAACTTATTCAGTCATGTAGTCCAATGATGGATTTTCATTTAATTAAAAAATCTCAAAAAATGTATCCCATGGAGTGAGTTTTGGAAATTTGCTCTTCAATTCAAAAGGTTTTACTTCCTGAAGTAAACCTGAAGTAGGTCAGTGAGGAAATTCACTACTCCGATCAGAGAAGTAAACCTCATCAGCAGGGTTGGGGCCCTTCCGGAATGCATTCATCAATTCCAATCCAAATCAGGAAAGGGAACTGGAGTTGGAATTTAAATCTCCATGAAATTCGAATTCAATTCCAATTCTGTTACCCATAGTTTTTTAATCCAATCCCAACTCCAGTTCCATTTCCTGATCTGGATTGGAATTGCAGAATGCATTCCAGAGTGACCCCAACCCTGCTGATCAGCAGTATCTCCCATTACTTGTTCTCACTCCTACCGCTGGCCCCGGCCCCGAACGACTCATTAGCCATGCCCCATCCCACCCTAGACTCCACCCCCACCATAGCCCCACCCACTTAGTCTTGACTCCACCCACCAGCTATGCCTCACCCATTCTACCCATGACCCCGACTCCATCTCACAGTGACACTGACCAGCTAAGGCTGTGCTTATGTCCCGGTGTGTGCTTCTCTAGCAGGGCGGTGAGCTTGAGCAGAGCCAGCTTCTGCAGCAGGTTCATCTGAAGCACAGACTGGGAGCTGAGCTGCATGGGAGCAGAGGGGAGGCTGGCACGGTGCGAGTCCTGGAAGCTTGGCCAGCGCAGCTTGGGGGGCCTGTAAAGGAAGGGGGGGGGGCATGAGCATTGGGGTACGACTGCTAGGGACAGAATGGACGGCTTCGATGTCATTAATATGGACTAGATTCATTGTGTGGGTCACCAAAACTCTTCCAAAAGACTCAGGCCCAGAAATAGGGCATGTGCAGCATTGTATTAGCCTGAAAACTTTCTGTATTGAGTACATTTAATCTGCACCTATAAAAAATACCAACCTACTATATTCTACAAACAATCATAGGGTAGATGTACTTATCAAGGAAACATTTCCAAAGGTCACTTCCTCTTTACTATAAATAAAAACTTAGTATTTGCTCTTATTTTGCTTTAAAGTGTGGAATCAAGTAGTTTGCTGGTCACAACAACATGGTTCCTGGTATACTGTGCGATCTCCCTGCAGTCCAAAGAACATTTAAATTTAATTAATCGATCTGATGTTTTTACCCAAAGAAAGCATCGATTAAGGGAGGGGTTACCTATGGGTGCTCTGTGGGATTTGAACCCACAACCTTTACCTTAGAAACGAATTTCTCTACTTGTTGAGTTACAAGAGCCATGTAGAATGGGAACAGCACCACATAATGGTTCGGTTACACAGACACAATCGCCAACGTCAGATTTTAAAAAATGGGACTCGCCTGCTTGGCCTGGTCAGGGAGGCTCCCACGCCGGAGTCCCTCCGGTCTCGACCTGTCAGGCCCTCCTCCTGCTCGCTGACATGGGCCGCGCTGTCCAGGTCACTGCTGCTCTCCGCCTCCTCCAGCTGGTGCTGCAGCGGCGAGTCTAGGGCGGAGTCTGAGTCGGCCTCCTCCTCGGCCCACTCGCTGACCAGCCGCTGCAGGCCGTCCACCTGCCGCAGGATGTCATCCAACTGCGGTTCAGGGGGATCCATTCCAGGGGGTTCGGGGGGCACGTTATCGTACAGGCTGAGCCGACTGTCGATGGAGCCTGCTGAGCCGCTGCGCTTGCGTGACCCCCAGCTACCACCCCGTTCGCCCTCTGAGTGGCTCCTGTAGGGGGCGATGCTGCGGCGTAGTGCCTTGGGGAAGGTACCTGGCTTGTGGCCTTCTGGGATGAAGAAGATGATCTCTGCCTCCTCCTCTTCACGGTCCTCATCCAACGTTCCTGTGCCTTTGTACTTCTGCTTCTCATCTCGAGTAATGGGCAGGAATTGGGGCAGGCCGAGCAAGTCTACTCCATCCAGCAGAACAGCAGGGTCCAAGCCCTCTAGGTAGAGCCCGCCTCGCTTGCTGGCGTTGTGACCAGAGCTGCTGCGGTTACGCGAGCGAGTGATGGGGCTGGGCGTGCTCACGGCGCTGCTGGCTTCTGACTGGCTACTGCTGCTGCTCGTCTGGGTGCAGTAGGGGGCGCTGTGGTTCCGGGCCGGGGGGCGGCCCTGGAGGCTGGAGACGTCCACGCAGCGCAGCCGGCGCAGGGCGTCCTCATGCAGACCCTCCTGCGGCACAGGGGCACTGATTACCGGCCTCAATGGCGTCTTCCGTGACTTGGTAGAGGAACTTCGCAGACGTAGGGTTTCCATCCTACGTAGGAAGCTCTTGGCCCGGGACCGTGCGCTCCGCCCCATCGGCCTAGAGCTAGGTACAGCTGGTGGAGGAACATCTCCTGGCAAGGAAAGGCCTTCAGAAGAGCGGCTGGAGGAGCTGGTGCCTAGACTGGGATGCCCAGGGTCGGTGCTGCCCGAGCTGCTGCCCATACTGTGGAGGGAAACCACCTCGGACAGCTCGCTCTCAACGCTGACCTCAGCAGGCTGGCTGCAGCCGTCCGACTCGGCGATCCTGGACCAGCGTCTGCTACCCCTCTCGAAGGCCCAGCGGCCGCTGATGGCGCACGGCTCATCCTCATCTGAATCTTCGTTCTGTGTCAGCATGAGAAATGTAGGGAGTAGGGAGACGATTAGCGACTGAGAGAGTGGTAACCGATCTGGGAATCCTCACCAACCTATCAGCTGTCCCTAATCGAAGAATCCTATTGATCGTGGGCTGATCAAAGAACCCTGGGATTTCTGCCTGACCTAATTATCACAAATCCAAGACTAAACTTACAAATACTTTAAGATAAACCTGAGACTACACATTCCGAAGTCCCAATTTTTAACACAGATTTTTTTTTTTCTGAGTCTTTTTTCCCAGATTTTCAGTATGCCAAACATCTATGTGATGTGAGATAAGTTTTATTGGTGCACTACATTATGTAACAAGTATAATCTGGCTAATTTACCAATTGAGGAGAAAATGATTAGTGAAGAGGGAACTACGCTTCACTTATCTTTGTCAACATCACAAGAATCTCATGTGGTTCTAGTTAATCAACAACTGCCCCAAGGGCAAGAAGAAATTCCATCCTCTCTGCATAACCTATAAGAGTCAGTGAGGCGCAGGGGCGGGGGTTGGGGGCAGAGGCCACAGGGTCAGCTCACTGCCCATAGTGACATTGAGATAAGGCCTCCATGGAGACCGAAGAAAGGAAACCAAACCTTTCTCCAGGAACCCACGACGGCCTGGTAGCGGCACTCACGTTTTTATTTACGGCCTGGGACCTTGAGCTTTGGGCACACAGGTACACTGCCTGTTTAACACGTACACCAGTATGCGGGTAAAGCATATCTTAATGATCTAGCAGATAGTGCCCTGTGGTTGAAATGCCATTCATTCCAGTGGGAGGGACCAGGCCGCCGCATGATGTGGGTAATCACATTCCAGTGGGAGGAGCCAGGCCGTCACATGATGTGGGTAATCACATTCCAGTGGGAGGAGCTAGGCCGTCACATGATGTGGGTAATCACATTCCAGCAACGTTTAGAACTGCACGTTTATTAAGTGTGCAGATAAACTCCCTGGGCTATGCGGCGGCCCAAGCTAACCCTAAAGGTCAGCGCACATCGCTGGTCCTCCAGACACCTTAACTGGTAGGTCATTCTAAACAACTAGATCACATCTCCCCAAACCTCAAGTTGATGCAAAAGGTCCTGCAAAGATGGCCCAGGATGGACACCCCCCTTTATTAAATATTAGGTAAACAATGTCTAGGTGCAGAACAATGGGCACATTCCTCCCAACCATCTTAGCCAACAAAGACTCACGACAAAGATCAACAGAGCAAGAAGCTCATCCAGTAATCAACCTGATGACCAGAACACCTGGAGAAGCATGAGAATAAATATGACCTTCATACAACACTATTTTTATATGCAAGAAAAGCAGTCAGAGATGGAAATTCCAGGTCCAGCAAGTAAAAATCCAGACCAACATTTTATGTCAACCAACCAACTGCGTATTCTGTGAATGTGACTCTGTATGCTCAACTGGTTGGTTGAAACAAAATATTGGTCTGGATTTGTACTTTCTGGACCTGAACTGTCCACCTCTGAGTGCAGTACTGTAATAGGAGGGGGGTAGGTGCTGTAAAAGGGGCTGCAGGTGAAGGGCTTACCCGCTTCCTTGGGGGCGTGATCTCCAGCCTCATCATGGCGCACTTGTTAAGGGTGGCCAAGCGTCTGTGACACACACAAACAGAAGGGGATATGAACAGAACAAAGGGATTGCATTTATACTGAGTAACACCCCTAAAATCGGCCTTACAAACGCAGACCTGGTGGTTCATTAGCGAGCGGGAAAAACGTTGCCACGGAAACAAATGTAACAAACAGAGAGCATATCCCCCATGGAATGGTGTCCACCCAGCCTGCCTTCTGACGTGAGAGCCAGGCTCCGGCTGACCCTGAGTAATGTTTTCCAGATGTCCACCACTTATGCACCTTAAACTGCCGTCTGCTTTTCCTGCCTGTGTATTTCTCATCAAACTGGTCCGCACCATCCAGAGGCTGTTTTCCGTTGGTCTCTCGTGTTCATTCACAAACACACACACACACAAGTTTGTAATTATGTCTTTGTGGGGACTCTCCGTTCTTTTCTTTGGCGAAAACTCTAATCCTAACATGACGACCTTATCACTGGGGAGAAAACATTCTTAGATAAATGTGATGCTTCTGTTTGATACAGGTGAAGAAAAGAGCAAACAGGACGTCTGAGACACAGCAGAGACTGAAGCCCATTGACTCGTACCAGGGAGATGGGGACATTTTGATTAGCTTATCACCTTCTGCTCTCAGCAACATGTCTGAAGCCTGTGATCTTCTCTTATCAGACCGAACCCCCTCCCAGCTGCACAGGTGGGGAGGAACTGCGGCTGCCAGCCGGAGCCGTCGGCCAATCGCGCACAGGGGGGGAGTGGCCTGACGAGGCTTCGCGATCTTACCTGCACAGTGCGGCGATGGCATCCCGGTCCAGGAAGTCATGATCTCGGGTCACGGAGGAGATGTCAATGGGAAACTGAGCATCTGGGGTGGATGCAGGGGAGGGTGCAGGGGGATGGGGGAGGGGTTAGAAGGTTAGTGATGAATCCCAGAAGCACTTCTTAGACATGGGGCATTTTTGGGTGGGATGGAGGGGGGTGGGAGAGGTTAGAAGAATGCACCGGCTTCCCCGGCCACAGCAGCTCTGTCATCAGATCTTAGGGAACCCCCCCCCCACCGCTGCCCTTTGGAACTACAGAGGAAACGCATCTCTGCTAAGCAAACACAGCTGCCAGACAGAGGCCTTCCATGTGGGGGGGAGAGTCAAGTGCTACACGGCCCTGCTCACAGGAAAAGGCATAAGGGGTCATGAGAGCAATGCGATGATGTTGGCAGATCCCCCCCCCAAGGGTGACACCTTGGCGGCCCAACCTTCCCTCCAGTTCACCTTAGCACTGACAAACAGGCCGCGCAATAACAGATGACAGTTCATTTCTGGGGCTCGTCTTCGCTTAATATGGAATGTAGCATGGAGACAAACCGGATCTCAGCAGGGGCTAGACACGGAGAGCGCCTCCTGCTGGAAGGGTGGCTGCAGTGCACAGATTCACCCCCAGGGCCGAATTTAGGGGGTTGGGGTTGATGTCATTCTTGGGGCCCTACCTGCAGCATATAATGTGCCTGTAACAACCATAAAAAAATATTTTGGGCCCCTGCAACTCGGGGCCCTGGGCCACAGGCCAAGTTACCCTGCTCTCTCTGCTCATTCATACAGTCCTCACTCCATAACTCACTGTTATGCGTGTTTTTAAAATATGACAGCATTGAGGGAAAATTTTAATTGCTCAGGATGAAGGATATGATGATTTTTTTTTTGGGGGGGCGGGGGGGGGAATCCAGCAATACAGGATCAAGCCCGCTTTGTAAAGATGCAAAGATGCCGGTTATAAATCACCATGGCCACCAATCTGACCACCCACAAATGGTTTAAGTGCAGCTGAGGTCAATGGATGGGGGGGTGGGCGTTACCTTCGTAGAGCTGCGCATACTGTGGAAACCCTGCCGCTCTCAGCCAATCACACACCTCCTTGGCTTCTATCTCTGCGAGAGAGAAAAATAAGGTAACCTGCTGTTAGACATCTCCGAAGAAGGAAATTCCAACAAACAGTCTGTTGGCACCATAGCAACCTAATTACCCTGAACACCTACTAGCCGATCAAGGACAGAAAAGCTCCTTTTCATTTGACTTCCTCAGTGTTCAACCCACAGTTCCAGCATGAGGAGTACTTCCTGCTTCAGGATTAGCAGCGTGGTGGAATCGATGTTATCGCTGGCCACTTGTGACCGATTTCCTCTACGTGACTTGTATTAAAAAGAACCCTGCCTTGAAAGATCTCATCAATGGATAAAACACAACAAAAAACACCCAGCTAATACTGAAGCCCTTTATGTCCTCCTTGCAGGGCACTGAATTTGCACAAAATCTAGGGATTATGAAAGGCTCCTTTTTCAGGCACTGCCCTGTTGTCATGTGGGTGAAAAAGTTCACATGAGAGTCATGGGAGCTGAAGGAGGCCTCCAGTGAAAGCAGGATCAAGGCTGTGGGAGCAGTGGACCCCTGACATGAAGGCCCATTACGCCTTGCCAAGTCTTACCATGTTTCAGTTTGATTCAATGGACATTGTGCTTCACTGTGCTTCACTAGGGTCCAGTTTGGTGCTTCACTGTACATCAATAATGTTTGTTTCAAAAAAATCTAGCTAAATGACTCTTTCCTGTCAGGAAAAGCCTTTTTCAACAATTTCACTTAATGAAAATTGAAGAAAAAAAAACACAATTCATTCCATTCTATTTCATGTGGAAACCTTCCTCAGTTCACCAGCAAATATGCAATAAAGCCCCTCAACCCTGATTAGGATAAGTGGTTGGATTATAGATGGATGGACTTGAAGAAAGGCTTATTTTGACCACTGAGGTCAGGGTGTGATGGAGAGGAGAGCAAACAGTGAGGCTGGATGGATCTGTGTGCTTTGGACGCATTTACATCTGTCCCTGTACACAGACCATCCCTATAAGGGAGACTAGCCACCCTTGAACCTGCCTGGAATGAGTCAACATGGTGCACTTTGCAAGCACTTGCCAGATGGCCCAATGAAACGGCCACTTGTGATGATCACATGCTAGTACCAAAATAAAAACATGATGATGTAAACAAAGGGAGCAGAGCAATGAACTGTGTGGTCAGTTAATTTCCGGTTAAGTCAAATGGAAAAATATACAGAAACAGACCAAAAGCGAAAACGAGTTCTTAGTAAAATGATATTAATTGCTCTAATGAGTAAATGATGATTAAACTTTACGTCATATACAGGTTTCCCTATTTATTTTGTAAGAACTTTTATTACGTCATATATCCATGTCTTTATTACTGAAAAGTCCTCTAAGCTACATAACACCCAAAGAATCTGTCCTGTACAATACATGGACAGGATCTCAAGTCTTGAAAAGTACAGAAAAGTGGATGTGCATTAAAGACAGCCGAATTCACCGCCATCTATTAGCCGCTTGGTACAGTCCGTTGGCATCCCTAACAATGAAGCTAATGGCCCCCAATAATGCTCATCACAGACAGGCACCAAGAGGGCACAACCTGGAAGTAGACAACATTTTCTTGGAGACATAGCCTTTTACACCCATGAAAAATAAAACGATAACATATCTGGGCCTTCTGTTATGCCATTAGTAAGGATGACGATTCCTTGGCAGATGCAGATGGGTCTTATCCACAGATGAGTCACAGTAGTAAGAAATCCAGAAATCCACTGAGCAGAAGGAGGATAAAATCAGCTATAAGTCAGATGACTGCACTGCATCATTGATCAACACAACAAGGTTTAAGAACTGCAGTAGTCAGCCTTATTTTCAAGGGAGATCTTTATTTAAGCCATGTTAGACTAAACAAGGGTGCAGTTTATCACATTTCTGCCAGGTTTTTCCCTCTAGAGAAAGTATCAGTTGTACCGCTGTGGGCGAAATCTTACGGCAGCACAGAAAGGACGCTAACGTGGCTGCATGAACGAATGAGCACCCCTCAGTGCTCGAATGCAGAATCGGGGGGGGGCTCTGTATTGTCTACAGACTTCCAGGGACGTCAAGTGACCTCATTTCCCTTCTGCTATTGGTAGGAAACGTGTGAAGTTGTTTACTGTACGAGACTGTTCTGTACTGCAACCCCGCCCATTTCTCTCAAGGCCAGATAGCAGACCTGCCAACTCAAAAAAAAAAAAAAATCGTCCGGCAATTGTGAAGGTTTGAAATATACTATAATTCTTTGGCTAAAATAAGTGGAGGGCAGTCAGCCAAATACTGTGGACTCCTGGAGACTTTTAAAGCAGGAAAAAGACTAATCATCTCTAAAAGCACATAGTCCTTTATAGAATTTAAGAGGGCACTTAGGAAAGAGACCTCGCAATAATACTTAGCTGCTGAAAAACCCATTCAACATGATGACAGTAAAAAAAAAAAATAAAGAAAACTTTATCAGGAATGCATAGTAAAAGCCGTGACAGATAAGAGGGAACAGGAATTGTGTAAAAGAATCAGTCAAGTTCCTGACGCCTTCCTGGGCTCTGCATAGGATGCTGGAGATACGTCATGCTCAAGCCTTGATTGACAAAAAATGCCTGCGAGGCTACAAGTGTTCAGGGGAGCAGAACTCCAGAAGGTTCCGCTGCTGTTAATGGTGTCCCACTCAAAGCCATTCTCCAAACAAGTTACCACAATGGATCGGCATTTTGCTAAAGCAAAATAACAATTATACGTAAAAAATAAAATAAAAATACAAACGCACACACTAAAGACAATGCCATATTCATACTGCAAGTTTGAAATATGAACATTTTCATACCAGTACTGCTGTCATAAAATTTTGTGGGTCCCACTGCATCCATGACAAAATTCAGCTCCCAGGGAATATTCCCATGATCAGCACCTAAAATTACTCTGCACCCCCTGTGTCCCCCAACAGCCCCCGACTCCTTCCTGTCGCAGGAAACTCTCCCCGCTGGGGGCCAATATTTACTTGAAGCCACACTAAGACCTACGCCAGGCTCGGCCAGGCTGACTTGCATGGGGACAAGCGCACATCGCAGCCCAATGAAATGTTTTTGAATCCCGACAGCTTATAGCTTATGCGTGTAAACGATTGCTAAGGGTGGTGCCTTCAAAGAGTTCAGTGAACCACAGAAGGATTTAGATTCAGTATTTTCCTTTGTAAGGGAACGTTATGTTCATATGAAGGTTCTCTCATATTCGCCAGAAAAGTGTGTGTATACCCCTAGGTATAATTCCTTGCAAATGATCCAAACTTAATGGTTTATTATGCTATTATGTTACATTAAGGAGGTATCTACGAACACCGTGCCCTGAACATTGTCACGTAGCATTTTGTAAAGATCCTCTTAAAGGTCTGCGCTCATGGTGTTTCAGCTGGTGGCTGTTAGAAGAACATTTTCACCGCAGTACCATCCTAAGCAGATACCGTGCTTAATGTGTATCAGGTCCTTCTTCACATCTCAGTGAATGAAAACAATCACACAGCAGCAGAGATAAACCAGCCATGGAGATAAATTTTAAAGACCATCTCATCATACTGAAGAGCCCAGGAATTCTGACATATTAACAATCTATGTCTTTGAACACAAAGGTCACGGTGTGTGTGTGTGTGAGGGGGGTTACTGACCCTTGATACACCATTGCTGAGCAGTGACTGAATCTCTCAGGTGATTGTGAGGCATGTTAAAACCAGCACTTATGACCCTCAAGCCCACTTCCACACTGCTCCACTCGGCCCCAGATCCACAACCACAAGCTGCACAAGTTACTCCCATGACTGTGATCTCCAGCCAGTTAAACACACGGTTATACAGAGACAACACTACTAGTTTAGCTGCAGATAAAAAACACTCAACACTAAATAGAGAGTACATCACCAAAGGGCAGACAAGCACAAAGCATGCAAAGCATGTCCGCAAACAAGATTCAGCAAATGCAACAATGCAAGATGCAATTCATAGAAGATTTGTGAATAGAACAAGCAATACGTCATGATTGATCTTCACTAATTAACTGTAGATACCAAAAATGTTTTGCAATATGAGGTTTCAAATTGTTTATGGCATAATGTTAATCATTAATGCCACCAGAACACATTATTTAATATAGTATCTTCACTGTAAAGTTCTTCTAACCCAGCAGTCACGCTTTACTGTATTGGTTTGCATTTCTTAATGTACCCTCGCTTTCCACGGTCCCGATCCACCCTCAGGCAGGTTCGGAGGGTGCTGAACCTCTCCCATTAGTGATGGGAGATCGCCAGTACTCACAGATCTGCGCGTACACTGGCAATGCAGATTTCTACTAATTAAAAACATATAACTTAAATATTTGTAACAAACAAAAACTGCTTTTTAGAATATACTCACTTGTTAAGATCATTGCTGCGATACAATATTTGTTCCGTGCATAAAGTAATCCCAGGCGTACTAAAAGCGGTTTATTCCAACGTCAAGGCAGACAATAATTTCATCCATCATAAAATGAGACATTTAGCGGGAGCAAGGCTGAAAAGAGATCAGACTGCAAGCGAAGTCCTTCCACCGTCACGTCATTCTATTGAAGCCCCGGTATTTCTCCCCGCGGACGTGACGCTTTTTGGGACACGATCCCGGTGACCATTTGGCGCAGTTGCCCCAATGTGGAATGTGAATGACACGGGTGGGGAAGGGAGAAGCATCGCGGGGCTCCACCTCCTTCCCTTACACACACCTGATAGCGGCGACACCCAGCCACAAGCACCGTATAAATCAGATTCATATGAAATTACAATCGCTGTAATTGCGAAGTCCTGCTGGATGCGAATTAGCAACAGCATTTTATGCGATTTCACATTAAGTGGCGGCCCCAAGAGTGATATAATTTTCCGAAGCTTATATCAAAACCTTGAGCGCAATTGAACCAAATCACAAATCGTTGCTTTGAACTCGATCAGGCAAATAAGGCTGTTAATAAAGACGAACTAAAGTGAAAATGCGGCTTTAGCA